ATTCCATTTCAGGTCTGATGTTCATTCTTTTCAGGTTTACCTACTAAGTTAAATTTTCAACATCAATGGTCAGACAGTGGTAGAAAATTTAAGAAACATCACAGCCTCATGATATTTTGTATACATATGCAACCCGGCCTTTTCTGTCTTTGACCCATTTTTAAAATTGTTTGAAACGTTTTCGATTTTTTTAAAGAAGTTTATAATTTTTGTTGGATATCTATTTTAAGAGATTTCAGTTCATAGTCTACTAATCTTTTCTGCAAAATGCTCAAAATTTTCATTGAAAATCCCAGTTTTATTAGATTGGCAAGTGAATTTAAAAAAGAAAAATTATAACATTACAGAAGAAAAAGCTCTGTGAAACCCTTTGTAGGAGAAAAGGTGTATATGAATTTGTTATACAACTGGTGTTAACACGATAGTGTATGTACAATGTATTACATATGATAGTTCTATGTTGTAACTCAAAATGGTTTTTATACATACAGATAATATGCCGGGAACTTCTATATGAATATGTGAATGTCCTTATTCTACCTTTTGTGTAACATGCATTGTTTTATTTTGTAGGGAAACTTTTATATGTTTACACATACTGAATGTAAATTGATTTTTGTGATTGAATGATCGCTTATTTCGTTATGTTTATTCTTTGTTGTTTCTCCCTTTTTATATCTGCCCTATTGAACATGTTCGCTGCTGCTGTCAACGAAAAAAATACATATGGAAATCTAGCAATTACGATTGGTCGCCTTGGTCTAGTGTGCCCTGCAGAAGTAGCGCCTAATTTACAGCAATTTATTCGTCAGTGGTATGTACTTATTATGATATATTTGAAGTTAGGACGAAGTTAAACTAACATGTCATTTTACAGCTTTTTGATATTGATAAATCTTGTTTATTCTTTGCATATTTTTTTCCTTTTTTTATTACACTGTTTGATATTAATGAGTCATGTTTTTCTTAATGATTTTAAAGTACGGATACTGGTCGGTGACCATCAACCGGACACTTTTGGAATATTTTTCTGTGCAGATTTCATAATTTTTAACCTAGAGACCAAACAAAAAATTTGACACAGTTCAGCAGGTCTAGGATTACATGTTATTTACGGACTGTCTGTAAATGTTTGGACAATCAATAATTTTACAGATTTTCTTGTCTGTCAATTTACAGACATTAAGTAAGAAAATAGTAGAAGTTGCATTAAAATTTAAAACCGCAGGTTAAAATGAATAACTTGTTAGGTATTATATGATTAAATGTAATAGTATGCTAAGATTCAGAACAGTTAGATGACTTACAATTTTCACTTTTAACAAAAATGTCAAAATCATCATACAAAGATGAAACCCATCCCATTACCTTTGTAAATATAAACAAGCAATAAAACAACTTGTCTTAAACTGCGGATTTTATTGTAAAACTAAAAACAGCAAATTTCACTTTGAATACCTGTAAATTTATGGATTGAAAAATCTTTAAATTTTGAGACTGTCTATAAATTTACGGACAGTCCATAAATATTATGAAATCCTAGACCTGATAAGATCTAGTTCATGTGTAGTTTCTAAAGTGATAGCCAACCATCGTAAAAGACTGATAGCCGACCATCGTAATTAAATATATTGCTAATTTTATTGTTTTGGCCTTTGAATTAATTGATTTAGTAAAGTTACTGATTTTATGAATAAATACACAGTACAGGTGAAAGATGATCAGATCCATTATAATTTTTAATAATGTGAATAAAATCAAAATAGAATCAAAGTCAAACTGTGAAACAAAACATAGAATTAGAATCTGTTAGTAATTTTGATAACATGTATGATTTTAATATATAATTTTTACAGTGCTTAAATCATGAAGGACATGAAAGAAAAAAAACCTATCTTTCGTGTAAGCAGATGTGTTCCTAACTCAGACAGGGACCTGTACAGAGAAGTCATAAAGGTAAGTTGTCAGGTTAACTTCATGAAACAATATACTCAAGGCTCTACAAATCCTATAGTCTGACTTCCGCGACAACTCTAAAACCACTTGGGACAACTGACAATAAGCAGAAAGTTAGTCCCGGACAAGTCAAATTTTGACAGATGCTAATCTTGGACAACTGTAAAATTATGTTTATTAATACGACCCTTCACAGCATGGTGCGCCGGTAATCTTCACCTGAGGCAATCAATCTCAGCAGTTGCTAGCTGATTAATTTTACATTGCCACAGGCAATAAAAATAGATAAGACACTAAATGTTTGATAAAAATCTTAAAGACAAAGTCCAACATTATTAAGGACATGTCCAAAACACTATTAAGTCACAGACTTGGTCTTTGAAGTTGATATATTGACATAAGCAGACAGTAATTTGTGCCGTGAATTGAAAATTTGGAATTTTTTGTTTTAGGCTTTTTGATGAATTCCTAAGTGGAAAACAATATTTAAATATCCAAAAAGCATCTATTTAAATATGAACGCATTCGAACATACAATAGTCAAAATAGTATAATTTATGAGGAAAACAGAAAAAATTTCATTTGTCACATATTTTCGCGATGCCGATTTTTTATATATATCGTGAGCCAGTTTTAATCAGTTTAAAGCTCTGCAGCAAGTAGAAATATTCAAAATCTTTTGTTACTTATGCCAAAAAGAAAAATATGTCTGGTTCAGGAAACATTGGTCCAAAAAATCAGGAGGGTGGGGATTGTTTTTTTTTTTTTTTTTGGTTGGGAGAATGTCTTATTTTCCCCATATATAGATGTGTTGCTACACTTAAACAAAGATTGTAATCAATCAATGCAAACACCATTTTATAATAAACTATCAGCCTGTGATATTGTGTTGTTTATTTCTTGTATGTAGTCATTTAATTAGTAATAGTAAGTAATTGCTTTTTTATGCTCCCCGAAAAATTTCGGGGGAGCATATAGTCGCCGCCTTGTCCGTCCGTCCGTCCGTCCCCTTTTCTTGTCCGGGACATAACTTTGAAACAACAAGAGGTATCAATCTGAAACTTATTAGGTAGATAGATCTCAATGAGTAGGTGTGCAGTGCACAAGAACCGTAACTCTGCCTTGCCTATTTTTTGAATTATTCCCCTTTGTTTATTTTTACACTTTGAACTTTGTCCGGGACATAACTCTAAAAATATAAGAGGTATCAACATGAAACTTTGTAGGTAGATAGATCACATCGAGTAGGTGTGCAGTGCACAAGAACCGTAACTCTGCCTTGCCTATTTTTTTAATTATCCCCCTTTGTTTATTTTACACTTTGAACTTTGTCCGGGACATAACTCTAAAACTATAATAGGTATCAACATGAAACTTTGTAGGTAGATAGATCTCATTAAGTAGGTTTGCAGTGCACAAGAATTGTAACACTGTCTTGCCTACTTTTGGAGTTATTGCCCTTTGTTTATTTTTACACTTTCAACTTTGTCCGGGACATTTCTCTAAAATTATAAGAGATATCAACATGAAACTTTGTAGATAGATAGGTCTCATTGGGTGGAAGTGCAGTGCTTAAGAATCATTACTCTGCCTTGCCTTATTTTGAAGTTATTGCCCTTTGTTTATTTTTACTTTTTGACTTTTGTCCGTGACATAACTTTAAAACTATTAGAGATATCAACATGAAACTTTGTAGGTACCTAGATATTATTGGATAGAACTGCAATGCTTAAAGAACCTAAACAAAGCCTGGTCTAATTTTGGTGTTATTGCCCTTTGTTCATTTTTACACTTTGAATTTTATCCGGGACATATCTCTGATATCATCAGGAAACTTTATAGATAGATAAGATAGATCTCATTAAATAGAAGTGTCGGTCCGGTTCCCTGAACCAGACATATTTTTAGTCCCCTACCGGTTTAACCGGAGGGGACTTTAGGTTTACCCTCCGTCCGTCTGTCCGTCTGTCTGTCTGTCCGTCTGTCTGTCTGTCTGTCAGTCTGTCAGTCCGTCAGTCCGTCCGTCCACAAAACTGGATCCCGCTATAACGCAAAAAGTACTGAAAATATTTTTATGAAACTTGATATATGGATAGATGGCAGTATGGAGATTATGCACGTCTTTTTTTTTCTTCATATGTTGAAAATTCTGGTTGCTATGGCAACAAATAGTCTGAAAATATGGCAAATTTAACACATAAACTGGATCCAGTGATAACTCAAAAAGTACTGAAAATATTTTTATGAAACTTGAAATATGGGTAGATGGCAGTCTGGAGATTATGCACATATTTTTCTTTTCTTCCTATGTTGAAAATTCTGGTTGCTATGGCAACAAATAGCCTGAATTTCAAGATTTCTGATTTAAATTTTTCAGCTTTTTCACTATATGTTCTTTATTTCTTAAGGTGTTTACTTCAAACTTTAAATATAAGTTTCTGGTCATCAACCACATCATATGTGACAAGGTTTATAACTCTAGCACAAAAAATATCAGTATTACCTCCCTTGAACTTAGATTTTTTAGGGGAAAAAATGTTGTCTTTTTTAAATAACTTCTTTATTTCCTAATGTATCTACTTCAAACTTCATATATATGTTTCTTATTATCACTCGACATTTTTGAGAAGGTTAAATACTCTAGCAAGACTATTTCCAGAATTATGTCCCCCTTGAACTTAGATTTTTTTCGAGAAACTGGTATTTTCACTCCAACTTCTTCATTCCTTATAGGATTTACTTTAAAATCCCACATCGTAATAATATGACAAGGTTGTATAAACATAATTTCCTTACTAAGCATGGAAACTTAACACATTACTGTGATATAGACAAACTTATTTTATTATGTTTTGTGGTTGATATTTTCAAATACAGACTTCATCCTCAAATTCATTATAAATGGCAATACACAGGAGTGTATGACAATTAAAGAACTTTTTGAGGGACCGGTAGGGGACTACTGTATTGCCCGCAATACTATCAAATGCTTGTTTATTTTGGCCTTATGAATCAAAAGGACTTTTGACAATGTTAAGATAAATATGATGAGATTTGTAAGTATTTGAATACTTTGCATACCAAGTCATGCAAAACCTTACATATTTTATATATGAAGTGATGTATTGACAAAGCAAGTTTAGATTCCAATCAGTTGTTTACATGATGTTTCTTTGTAACAATTTGTATGCTTACCTTTGTATGCTTACATTTTCATTCATTCCAGAATAATCATTGTCAGCTGGCATGTCACATGACCAGAAATTTCTTTATCAATTATTGTGAATGATGAAAATAAATATTGATGCCAGCATAATCCCTCTTTAAATACCAGTAACCAGTTGCCCATTTTGCTATTCAGCTTGTTTTAAGAAATATCAATTGTTAAATTTTGATACTGGTTAGGTAAATACAAATACTGCAAATCAACCAATGGTAATCATTGTGTGAAAAAGAAAATTAATCATTATTGATATTTGTCTTTTACTTAGTTACACCCTGTGAAACCTAAACCTGCTCCAGTGAACACAAAACCATGTAGTCATACAGCAGTTGTAGATCATCCTAAACCAGTAACTGACACAAAGAAAGTGGTGAGTTGTAATGTGTACATACATGTGTTACTTGGGGGGATATTTTCCATCATCAACCAAACTTTCACTTATTTGAGCATGCTTTCTTGTAGGGATGTCATCTGGAGCCAAAACGGCCATCCGGATATCCGAATCAAACATCCGGATGTTCGGATTGATGTTATATTCTTACATTGAAGATGTCTGATATGACGTAAACATTTTTTCGAGACCTTTTTCAAAGTGTATTATTTCGTTTTTTTCCTTTTTAATTGAATGATACATATAAAAAATTTACCGTTATTGATTTTATTTCTTCTATATAGAATAGGACTAGCTGTTATGAATAGATTTAGTGCGTGTGGTACTTACGATTTCAAATGAAATGAAAACGAAATTCGCCGCCGATTGTCTGAATTCCTCAATTAGCGTTATAATACGCATTAAAATTCGCTCACATTTGTGAAAACAAAATAATACCCGTAAAAATTTAATATAATGTTTCCATTGTTCAATAACACGCATACAATTTACACACGATCACCCTTAACACACGTGTAGCCGGCTTTTCAAAAGAATCTGCCAATCATTGATGTTTACCATCATGTAGCCCTGGCTGTTTGATTCGAATCTTCAAAGAAAGTGCCGAAACTTACATGAATTACACACATTTTAAATGTTCATAAGAGAAAAAAGAAATGTGAAAACAAAATGTTTTTAAAAAAATGCACATGTTTGATTAATACTAAAGGAGAAAGTTTTTTTGTCGGATAATTTTCGTATCAATTTCAATAAAAGCTGTGATAATTAACATATAATTCGTAAGTTCATTTCTTTATTTGCTTATTATACCCCCACCACAAAATGTGGGGGGGGGGCTATAATGGATTCGCTTTGTCGCGTCGGTCGGTCCGTCCGTCCGTCGGTCGGTCCGTCTCCATTTTCGTGTCCGCTCTATAACTCCTATACCAATTGAAGGATTTTCTTCAAACTTGGCTCAAATGTTCACCTCAACAAGGGGATGTGCAGAACCCATATTGCCCATGTGTCAGTTCAAGGTCAAGGTCACAATTGAAGGTCAAATATCAAACACTATCAAATATTACACAGTATGTCCGCTCTGTAAGTCTTACACTACTTGAAAGCTTTTCTTCAAACTTGGCTCAAACGTTCACCTTAACCAGGGGATGTTCAGAATCCATGTTGCCCATGTGTCAGCTCAAGGTCAAGGTCACAATTGAAGGTCAAATATCAAACAATCTAATATTACACAGTATGTCATGTCCGCTCTGTAAGTCCTACACTAATTGAAAGATTTTCTTCAATCTTGGCTCAAATGTTCATCTCAACCAGGGGATGTGCAGAACTTATGTCACTCTTTTGCTGGCTTAAGGTCAAGGTCACACTTTAAGGTAAAAAATTGACTTAGAAAATATTCTTAAATTTAACATTTATTTGAATATTTCTAAATCTAGAAAAGGTATTTGCATGAAACTTAGAATATTTTTGAAGGGTCACAATTCCGATATGCTGTTCGTTCAAGTTTCATAACTCTGTATTGCATTTTACCAAAGTTATGCCCCTTTTTAAGTCTTCAAATTTTCATACAATCAAATATTAGACAATTTGTTGTGTCGCTCTATAAATCCTATACTAATGGAAGAATTTTCTTCAAACTTTACTCAAATTTTCACCTCAACAAGGTTATGTGCAGAGTCCATGTCACCTTTGTGCCGGCTAAAGGTCAAGGTCACACTTGGAAGACAAAAATTGACTTAGAAAAAGTTCTTAAATTTTTACATGTACTTGAATAATTCTGAATTTAGCGCAGGCATTTGCTTGAAACTTAAAAGATATATGAGGTGTGGCAAATAAGATATGCAGGTCAAGTTTCATTACTCTGTATTGCATTTTGACAAAGTTATGCCCCTTTTTAAGTCTTCAAATTTACATACAACCAACACTAGACAATATATTGTGTCTACTCTATAAATTCTATACTAATGGAAGGATTTTCTTCAAACTTTACTCAAATGTTCAACCAAACTGGGTGATGTGCAAAACCCATTTTACCCTTGTGCCAGATTAAGGTCAAGGGCACACTTGAAGGTCAAAAATTGACTTATAAATAAAATGTTTAATACATTGGGAAAATGAAAGGTTATTTGTAACTGTTTTGAACATGATTTGATAATACATATTTATACTATTACCTGTACAATTAGTCTTTTTTTCACCAGAGATAATTTCTTTTTATGTATTTGTGCCACATAAGTTATTCCCTTAACCACCTTTCCATGTGGTCTTCTGTCAAGGACATTGGTGGGGGTATGAATCGCATTCAGCGATAGTTCTAGTTTTATTTCTGCAGATTTTTCATTGTCTCAAAATAAGGAGTCGACGGGTCGGTAGGCCGAAATATATATAAAAATAATAACGTAATTAAATATTTAAATTTGGACATAAAAAATGTAACATCGTTGCCGAGGACAGTCGCACAGACTTAGAATATCCATCTTGAATCTTACAAAACTTAAATTTGATTAACAACATGTGTCATAATTGACTCGTAATTATTATAGTAATTATTGATTCTCACTAGGACTTTAAAACATGGAGTCCATGGACTCCCAACCCTGAAAAAGTTGGAGTCCAAAAGCGCTTCGCAATTAATATGTTTACATATTAGTTATTTAATGCACACAATAGCATTGCTGATATTTTGAAACTTCAAGAGACTTTCAAAGTTTATAGTTTTTCACAACAAACTCTGAACTAAACATAGTAAAATTATTGTTTTGTTGTTAATATTTATTTTGAAATTATTTCATTATTATGCATCAACACGAAACAAAGCAGTGAAATGTGGATTTTTAGCTCACCTTAGGACAAAGTGCTCAGAGAGTTGATGTCTGTATGTCTGTCTTAAATAACATCTCCTAAACTACATGGTCGATTTTAACCAAACTTTATAAGAATCTTGTCAGAAAATATGTACAATTCATAGAGCTTAGATATATAACATGTGGCCTAACCGTTTTGGTTCTCCACAAATCATGATCCCCACCTGGGGGTTACTTGACTTACTTTATATATAATATAGACTTGTATAGAAAAACACATTAATATTTCTTCTTGAAACTGTATTCCCTTGAGCTTAAATATTTGTCATGAAGCATTAAAGTAGCACACATCAACAAATATTTTGAAAATTATGATACTTTGGTAAAAATAAATGACAAACCCAATGTGACTTCATTGTTGAAATAGTGACCTTTTGTAGCAAGGGAGCTTGGTAATCTTGTTTTTAGCTCACCTGTCACAAAGTGACAGGATGAGCTTTTGTGATCGCTTTTCGTCCGGTGTCCGTCCGTAAACTTTTACTTTAAATGACATCTCCTCATAAACCACTACGCCAATTTCATCCAAACTTCACAGGAATGTTCCTTTGGTGGTCACCTTTAAAAATTGTTCAAAGAATTAAATTCCATGCAGAACTCTGGTTGCCATGGCAACCGAAAGAAAAAACTTTAAATATCTTCTTTTAAAAAACCATAAGAGCTAGAGCTTAGATATTTGGCATGAAACCTCTTCAAGTGAGTGTCTACCAAGTTTGTTCAAATAAAAGCCCTAGGGTCAAAATTGGCCCCGCTCCGGGGGGTCATTGATTTTCCCTATATACATATAGTAAAAACTTAAAAAATCTTCTTTTAAAGAACCCAGAGCTAGAGCTAAGATATTTAGCATGAAACATGTTCTAATGGGTGTCTACCAAGTTTGTTCAAATAAAAGCCCTGGGGTCAAAATTGGCCCCGCCCCGGGGGTCAATGATTTTCCTTTTATGCATATAGTAAAAACTTAAAAAATCTTCTTTCAACGAACTCAAAGAGCTATGGCTAAGATATTGAGCATCAAACATGTTCTAATAGGTGTCTACCAAGTTTGTTCAAATAAAAGCCCTTGGGGTCATTGATTTTCCCTATATGCATATAGTAAAAACTTAAAAAATCTTCTTTTAAAGAACCAAAAGAGTTAGAGCTAAGATATTTAGCATGAAACATGTTCTAATAAGTGTCTACCAAGTTTGTTCAAATAAAAGCCCTGGGGTCAAAATTGGCCCCGCCCCAGGGGGTCATTGATTTTCCCTATATGCATACAGTAAAAACTTTAAAAAATCTTCTTTAAAAGAACTCGAAGAGCTATGGCTAAGATATTTAGCATCAAACATGTTCTAATAGGTGTCTACCAAGTTTGTTCAAATAAAAGCCCTGGGGTCAAAATTGGCACTGCCCCGGGGGTCATTGATTTTCTATATATGTGTATAGCAAAAACTTAAATTCTTCTTTGAAAAAACCCAAATAGCTAGAGTTTAGATATTTAGCATGAAACATCTTCTAGTAAGTGTCTAATAAAAGCCCTGGGGTCAAAACTGGCCCGGCCCCATGGGTGTCATTGTTTTTAACTATATGTGTATAGTAAAAACTTAAAAAAAATCTTCTTTTAAAAAGCCCAATGAGCTAGAGCTTAGATGTTTAGCATGAAACATCTTCTTATCGGTGTCTACCAAGTTTGTGCAAATGAAAGCCCTTGGGTTAAATTTGCCCTGCAACGTTGGGGGGGTCTATATACAGGTGAGCGACCTCGGGGCCATCATGGCCCTCTTGTTACATTATTAACATCTAAACTAGTATATATTGTAATATCACATTGGGCTAATTGAATTAAAAAATGTCTACATTACTCTTGGCAGACATCTTTATGCCACCACAAACTGGGGGTTGTAGATTAGCACTTGTCTGTCTGGCCAAAGACAGTAAAAAATGTTACATGGGGGTTTCCATGACCTCATTTCAAGTTTCAATTAGTTTGGCCATTTACATATGTTTTGATTGACATTTAGTTAGATGTTGATATTGGAAATACATGTATGCTAAATCAAAATTTAATTGGAGCAACCTGTTTATTTTTGTTTTGAACTCTTCAATATTGCTCCACTTTCAAGAAATTATGTTATTTTTGTAACTTGTTTAGTTGTTACATATATAATAGGAGAAAGCCCCAATTTCAAAGAAAGCAGCTTCAACAAGAACATTGTGTAGTGCCAGACAGCCTGTTGCAGCACCTAAGCAAAAAAGACAGGCAGTTAAAAATAAAGGTATGAAGTTTTGTAATGTATTCACATAAGAAGTACACTGTCAGATGGTTATAACATTAACCAGAGTATTTGACTTCCACATTTATAAAATCCTGTTTTTGGAATACTTACTACAGATGTGTTCAATTCATGTAATATCTGAAACAATGCTTGTTATTGTATTAGGCAAGCACAGGAATGGTTCAGAAAAATATTTCTTATCAATGGGTATACAATGCAATATTGTACATATCTCTATGAAGTAAAGGAATAAACAGTTATAAGTCTTTTAAATATTCTTATATCATTTTCAGTACATAACAAAATAATATTTTGTAAATTATTGTTTCAGTTATTTACACGAATCAGAATAAGAAATAAATTTATTATTTCAAAATTAATGATGATAATGATTGATATCATGAAATGTATCAAAACATTTACAATTGTATATGAACAGAAACGTTGTTGGGGTAATACAATAAATTTCTACCTGTCAACAATCCAATCATGTGATTAGCTTTATTTATATATCAGACTCCATTTGTATTTGGACCGCAACTTAAACATTAAAATGTGGTGCCAGCATATTCAGTTATAATAATATATGGAGCAAAATTCAAATTAATTGATGATATGCACTATGTTTGAGAACTTTGAAATTGAAAGAATTCTTTTTCAAAAATTTATTTCTATTTGATGTAGCATCTTATTTGTTCTGTAGTTACTTGAATTTGCATATTATATGAATGATCTGTAACTCAACAAGTTATTCCTTTTAAATTTGTTATGAAAGTGTAAATATTCTTATATTTAGATAGAGTTGGTTCACCAGATTTGAATCTAGACAAAGTAACAAGGCGTGGTGACCCCACAATATTGTCAGCTGATTCGTTTGCACAAACATCGGACTTTGGCTTAAATGACACAAGTGCTGCAGGTTTTCTTTGCCAAACTCAAGATAGTTCTTGTGGGCTATTTTTGAAAAAAAATCCAAAAAGGTTGGTTATTCATTTGATAAAATATGTTTTCTTGCTTTAAAAGTATGTTGAATAAACTAAATTCTTCATTGAAAAAACCTAAAGAAAGTTAATTTACTCTTCAGAAGTGATTTAATATATTGTAGTTGTGTTATGAAATTGCATCATTAATTGAAGTATTGATTATTGAATTGGTTTGATATTTTAGATTTGTCCTTGTCCTTATTTCAGACCAACCTTGACTGTACATTGCAGTAATTGTACAATATTTCGGACGCATTTCTATTTACAATTATAGGATAGAATAGAGTTTCAAAGTTAAAGATTTAAATTATGTTCCCTCTTGTCTTTTAAATAATATATATGTACATGTAGGACACCTAGGGTCTTCATCAACAATTGGAACTGCACATTCATGTTATGTTGGTTTACCTTAAATTAATATTAAAGAAAAAAATCTGCTCTTATTTTACATTGCTTTTAAAATGCACATTATGCCTCATAAACAATTATTTTAGAAAGAATATATAGTTGTTTTATAATGTTTAGGTAATAGCTTAATATCACCCGAAGGAAGACAAAGTAGTGCTGAATGTGAAGTTACTTGTCATAAAAGTAGCATGTGGCAGCTTGTGCCAGAAATAATGCACTTATGGTCTTCCTCCACCAGTAAGCTGAAATTCACCGAATTTGTTGTCTATCACAAGCATATAATTTTTCTGTTACATTTATTTTTTCTATCTTGCAAACAAAATTAGCTGTCATTTACTATTATTTACATCATATTTGTATATTGGTAGATTACCAGATGCTGAATCTGTGGTTTTGTCAGCAAAACGTAAAACAAAATTGAAACCAAAAAGTCCTGAAGAGTGGTATGTACACTCTTTAATTCAATTGATCAGTACTGAGTTTAAAGTTTTTGTATTTGTTAACTGCCAGTTTCATTAAATGGAAAAGTAATATACTTGTATACAGTCCTTGTTTAGAATTCATACACATTTTTAGCTCGACTATACGAAGTATATGGAGAGCTGTCCTACTCGCGTCGGCTTCCGCATCCGCGTCCGCGTCCAGATTTTAGATTAAAGTTTTGGTGCAGTAAAATATTTTTCATTATAACTTTGTCATTTCTTAAGGTATCAACTTCAAACTTCAAATATATGTTCCTTATCATCAACCACATCTTATGTGACAAGGTTCATAACTCTAGCACAAATATCTTTAGATTTATCTCCCCTTGAACTTAGAATTTTCCTTAAAAAATACTATTTTTTACTGATACTTCTTTATTTCTTAAGGGATCAACCTCATACTTCAAATATATGTACCTTATCATCATCCCAATCTTATGTGACAAGGTTCATAACTCTAAAAACAATATTTTCAGATTTATCTCCCCTTAAACTTAGAATTTTCCTCAAAAATTACTATTTCTTACTGTTTCTTCTTTATTATATGCCCGAAAGAATTTCATGTATTATGTGGTTAAAAATGCTCTTATGGGGTTAGAAAAATTTGCTCTTGTGGGGTTAAGAGATCAAAGGAATTACGCCACAAACACGTCTGCTAAGTATGTCCGTCCGTCCGTCTGTCCGTTAGCAATTTGGTTTCCGCAGCATAACTTAAGTTCCATTTGGCCCACAGTATTCAAACTTCATAGGATGATTGTCCATATTGGGTAGAAGACCCCTATTGATTTTGGGGTCACAAGGTCAAAGGTCAAGGTCACTATGACCTAAAAACTGAAAACAGTTTCCAGAGCATAACTTAAGTTCCATTTGGCCCACAGTGTTCAAACTTCATAGGATGATTGTCCATATTAGGTAGAAGAACCCGTTTGATTTTGGGGTCACAAGGTCAAAGGTCAAGGTCACCATGACCTTAAAACTGAAAACAGTTTCCAGAGCATAACTTAAGTTCCATTTGGCCCACAGTGTTCAAACTTCATAGGATGATTGTCCATATTGGGTGGAAAATCCCTATTGATTTTGGGGTCACAAGGTCAAAGGTCAAGGTCACTATGACCTTAAAACTGAAAACAGTTTCCGGAGCATAACTTAAGTTCCATTTGGCCCACAGTATTCAAACTTCATAGGATGATTGTCCATATTGGGTAGAAGACCCCTATTGATATTTGGGTCACAAGGTCAAAGGTCAAGGTCACTATGACCTTAAAACTGAAAACAGTTTCCGGAGCATAACTTAAGTTCCATTTGGCCCACAGTGTTCAAACTTCATAGGATGATTGTCAATATTAGGTAGAAGACTCCATTTGATTTTGGGGTCACAAGGGCAAAGGTCAATTCATTATGACCTTAAAACTGAAAACAGTTGTTGGAACATAACTTAAGTTTCATTTGGCCCACTGTGTTTAAACTTCGTAGTATGATTGTCCATATTGGGTAGAAGACCCCTAATGATTTTGGGGTCACAATGTCAAAGGTCAAGGTCACTATTACCTTAGAACTGAAAACAGTTTCCGGGGCGTAACTAAAGTTCCATTTGGACCACAATATTGAAACTTAAAAGGAGGATTGTTTTGCGAAGGAGGTAAAACTTTATTTAATTCCCATGTCTAAGAAATCTTTCATCTTTACTAAAAAAAAAATCATTTTCGGGCATATAATGCTCCGCCTAGCGGTGCTCTTGTTTCTTAAGGGATCAACCTCATACTTCAAATATATTAACGTTATCATCATCCCCATCTTATGTGACAAGGTTCATAACTCTAGCACCAATATTTTCAGATTTATCTCCCTTTGAACTTACACTTTTCCATAAAAATTATTATTTTTTACTGTAACTTATTTATTTCTAAAGGGATCAACTTCATACTTCAAATATATTTACGTTATCATCATCCACATCTTATGTGACAAGGTTCATAACTCAAGCACCAATATTGCAAGAATTATCTCCCCATAAACTTTGATTTATTTACTAGAAAAATGTTATTTTTTAATTAACTTTTTTATTTTTAAAGGTATCTACCTCAAACTTCAAATTCTTATTCCTTATCATCAATTACATTTTATATGACAATGTTCATAACTCTTGAAGCAATATTTACAGATTTATCTCTCTTTGAACTTAGGATTTTCTTCAAGAAATATAATAACTTCTTTATTTTTTTAAGGTATCTACTTCAAACTTGAAATATATATTTCTTATCATTACACAAATGTTGTGTGGCAAGGTCCATAACTCTAGCATGACTATTTCTAGAATTATTCCCCTTGATCTTGGAATTTATGTTAACAAATGTTATTTTTTTACTATAACTTAATACTTAATTATACATAATTGATTTTTCTTTCATAGTTTTGTCCTCCTTACTGCGTCCAGTATTTTATTAGTCGAGCTTTGCTGTCTCCTGTGACAGCTCTTGTTATGTCATCTTACTTACAGCATGTAATTTTACATAATTATACCCCCGCACAACAAATTTGTAAGGGGGGTATACTGGAATCAGCTCATTCGTCCGTCCGGCTGTCCGTCCGGCCGTCCATCCGTCGGTTATTTCTTGTCCGCCCAATAACTTAAGATTCCTTTGACCCTTAGTCTTCATATTTGGCATGGAGATTAGTCATGATTAGTAGATGACCCCTATTGATTTTGAGGTCACTAGGTCAAAGGTCAAGGATACAGGGGCCTTGACTTTAAAAAGCTTGTCCGCCCAATAACTTAAGATTCCTTTGACCTACAGTCGTCATATTTGGCATGGAGGTTAGTCATGATTAGTAGATGACCCCTATTGATTTTGAGGTCACCAGGTCTAAGGTCAAAGTCACAGGGGCCTTGACTTCAAAAAGCTTGTCCGCCCAATAACTTAAGATTCCTTTGACCCACAGTCTTCATATTTGGCATGGAGGCTAGTCATGATAAGTAGATGACCCCTATTGATTTTGAGGTCACCAGATCAAAGGTCAAGGTCACAGGGGCCTTGACTTCAAAAAGCTTGTCCGCCCAATAACTTAAGATTCCTTTGACCCATAGTCTTCATATTTGGCATTGAGGTTAGTCATGATTAGTAGATGACCTCTATTGACTTTGAGGTCACCAGGTCAAAGGTCAAGATCACAGGGGCCTTGACTTCAAAAAGCTTGTCCGCCCAATTACTCAAGATTCCTTTGACCCATAGTCCTCATATTTGGCATTGAGGTTAGTCATGATTAGTAGATGACCCCTTTTGACTTTGAGGTCACCAGGTCAAAGGTCAAGATCACAGGGGCCTTGACTTCAAAAAGCTTTTCCGCCCTATAACTCAAGATTCCTTTGACCCACAGTCTTCATATTTGGCATGGAGACTAGTCATGATTAGTAGATGACCCCTATTGTTTTTGAGGTCACCAGGTCAAAGGTCAAGGTCACAGGGGCCTTGACTTCAAAAAGCTTGTCCGCCCAATAACTTAAGATTCATTTGACCCACAGTCTTCATATTTGGAATGGAGGTTAGTCATGATTAGTAGATGACCCCTATTGATTTTGAGGTCACCAGGTCAAAGGTCAAGGTCACAGGGACTTTGACTTCAAAAAGTTTGTGTGCCCAATAACTTTAGATTCCTTTGACCCACAGTCTTCATATTTGGCATGGATGTTGATCATGATTAGTAGATGACCCCTTTTGATTTTGAGGTCACTGGATCAAAGGTCAAGGTCATAGGGACTTTGACTTCAAAAAGTTTGTCCACCCGTTAACTTAAGATTCCTTTGACCCACAGTCTTCATATTTGGCATGGATGTTGATCATGACTATAAGGTGACCCCTATTGAATTTGAGGTCACTGGGTCAAAGGTCAAAGTCACAGGGACCTTGACAAAAAAAAAGCTTTTCTTCTCAATTGCTAAAGAATGTCCTGTCCGCAATGTATTGATTTTGACATTTTCACATTTGAAGCATGTAGAATACATAACTTAGCAATGCACTGGCTTAGTAACCTCAGATTTGGCAGGGAGGTTGTCCTTGAGCTCTAAATGGCCACTGTTGATTCTGACAAAGTGGTATGCGGGGGTATTCACGCCATGATAGTGGCAGTTCTAGTTATTTTTTCTATCTATATACATGAATTGTTGACATGTATCTTTACATTTTATGTTGACAGATTTATTTGGATTCATTGGTTTTTGTATAATTTTAGATTTTTCTTATAAAATTATGTTTTTTAACGATGTGAATTGTCAGAATAGTTGTCATCATTGTCCTCTTGTCATGTTGAATGTACAAAAAATGTAAAGCTTCAACAAGGGTTAATACAAATTTGATTTTTAAAGATAAGTAGCAATTAACATAACAATTAGGAAAGGATTTCAAACTTAGATAATAATCATGTGAAAATGACAGGAAATTAGTTTTTGATTAAGAAATTAAAATGATTATACATGAGGAAAGTCATTTTATTTTAACAAAAAATGGCTTGTAACTTAGGTAGTTATAAGATTAACAGAAATATTGGTTATGTTATTAGGATTGAAGTTCTAAGTAACAGCCCAATGGTGGAAATGACGAGGAGAAAATATGAATGTGGTAAGATTCTACTTGGCTTAAGTGTATATGTGAAGTTATTTGCATAAAACATGTATGTTTCTGGCGGGAAAAAATTAGTTAATAGGTGTGTTGAAATAAGTGATTTTGAAAAAATTAAGCTGAGTGCTTTAAGCATATTAAATTTGAATTTGGCATTTATGTTTATGAAGGATTTGTTTCCAATTTAAGTTTCTGATTGTTCTTTCATAAAGGAGATCTTTTGATTTAAATTTACAATTTCATTCATTAGAATACACTCCAAAACAGAGTAGAGGTAGAAGAGCAAGTCTAAAAGGTTGTAGGTCTACTGAGAGACGTAGATCACGTCAACCTTCGTTTGCACGCTTAGTTTCACCTACTGTACAAGATGTTCGTCATGTTACCCTGCCTCACACACCATACAATAATGACTCCCTAGGTAATGATTACTTGTATATACTTTTTGTGTATAACTGTACAGTATCTTAAGAAAGGTCAATTGCTATAGCCTTAAATAAACTTCAGGGATTTACTTTACTAATAAACAGTATGCCTATGCGTGGGCCAGTCTAAAACGCAGAGGCTTATGCAGACAATATAGAATATATAGTAAAACGCAGACAATATAGATTTAGAGTGTTTTCACAAAACGCAGACGATATAGAAATAGAAGGATAGAAGGTGTGAATTAGACTCTTAACAGCTTGTCACCACTTTTTTTTCAGATTAACTTTATAAAATAAGAGATTTATAAGAATTATTATTTGATACAAAAATAACATTTTAATTAGAGATTAGAAACGTTTTTATTTAAATGTTTTATTAGTATGATAATATCAACAATAAATATATAAATAGTGATATAAGAAAGGGATTTTTTTATAATCGATACTGGAGTAGATGAAAGAAATAAATTCTTCTTAGCTGTGTCAGATGTCTTTGGTGTTTCGCAGGTTGACGTCAGAAGGATAGATTTATCGTTATTTTTTATTACAGAATCAGGAGCAGGATTTATTGTTAGATCATTGTCGCCTTTTCTTCCCTTTTTAGTTCCACATTTTTTCATATTTTTGGGGCGGCAATTCCTTCGGAGTTGTGTTAGGTTGTACACTATTTTTATCATCAGGCAAGGGTAACCCTATTGCCATCATGGCAGCAATTATATGATAGCACCTGCTTGTTGATGGGCAAGTGCATTTCTCTTTAGGATAAAGTGTCACAGAATATTTAATATCTCTAGTCCCTTTAACCATTTGTGGAACAAGAACAATGTCATTATTTTCAATTACATTAATGGCTAATGCTTTTTGGCTGTCTCCTTTAGATGATATAATTGGTGGAACACAATTTTCAGATTCGGCCACTTGTTTTAAATCACTTTTATCTTTTGTTAAAATAGTTGAAATTTCACCTTTGATTATGTCTATTATTTTATCTGGATGGCACACATTTTTGGGAAAAATAACTGTTTCAGAATCAAGAGCAGCATATTGGAAGTCGTTTTTCATTGTCAACTCACTTTCACCACAGAAACCACGAATCAATTTAGACAGATCATTTGACTGACAGTAATAAAAGTAAAGAACAATTTGATCAATGGTTTTTTCTTTAAAGTCTATTAGTCTTCTCAATTTAGCATTGAGACTTTCACTAACATTATTTGTTATTCCAGAGTATGGGTTATAGATGTTCTTGCTTTCTAAAATCCACCTTGCAGCATGATGAATTATTGTGTCATAAAGACATTCTTCAAAATATTGAATAAATGGCTGGCTCCATTTTTCTTTTAATTGTTCATAGGTGTCTCTAAAAACGTCCAGACTAGAACAAGTAAGCAATGTTCTTACATTATTCTCATATGCTTTTCTGTCGTCCACACCACCTCCATGCTTTGACAACCAGAACTTAATATCTCTAAAAATATGATTCCAACATATGAGATATAGAAATTTGGTAGTTTCGATTCAAATGCATTTATAATGCCTTTTTCTCTGTCAGTTACAACATTTACTGCTTTCTGTGTTAACTGGGGAATTTTCAAATTTATTTCTTCAATAAATCGTAAATGGTTTTTACCTCGACTATTCGAAGAATATGAGAGCTATTTTAGTTGCCCCGGCGTCGGCGTCCGCGTCGGCGTCTGCGTTGGTTTAAGTTTTTTGTAAAGTCAAATATCTCAATTACTGCTTGAGATATTCAATTGAAACTTACAATACTTATTTATAGTAACAAGGTACATCAGATTGACAAGTTGGATAACTCTGCCTACAATATTGACAGAATTATGCCCCTTTTTAACTTAAAAATTTTGGTTAAAGTTTTTTGTAAAGTCAAATATCTCAATTATTACTTAAGATATTCAATTGAAACTTACAATACTTATTTATTGTAACAAGGAACATCAGATTGACAAGTTGGATAACTCTGCCTACAATATTGACAGAATTATACCCCTTTGGAACTAAGAAATTTTGGTTAAAGTTTTTTTTGTAAAGTCAAATATCTTAATTATTGCTTGAGATATTCAATTGAAATTTAAAATACTCTTTTATAGTAACAATGTATATCAGTTTGCAAAATTGCATAACTCTGCCTGCAATATTTGCAGATTTATTTGCCCCTTTGAAACTTAGAAATTTTGGTTAAAGGTTAAAGGTCTTCAAAGATATTTACTTGAAACTTTACACATGCACTTAGGGTCATAATTGGAGGGTCATAATTGTATGTCACTGACCAAGTTCCATAACTCTCTCATGCATTAAGGCTGATTCATATCCCCTTTTCTATTTAGTCTCTTGGTTAATGTTAACATGATAGTTTTACATATCTCAATAACTATTAAAGATATTTATTTAAAACTTCACATATGCATTTAGGGTCATAATTGTAGGTCACTGACAATGATCAATAATTCTATCTTGCATTTAGGCTGATTTTTCTCCCCTTTTTCAACTTAAAAATTCATAGTTAAGTTTTGCTTGTAAGCTGTTATCTCAATAACTACTGAAGGGTTTGTACCTTTTTTGGGACTTGATAAAACATCTTAATAACAAGCCTTTGTACCTTTTCTGTCAAATTTATGTATTCATAGGTAATTAGTATTATTTTACTCAATTAAACACCCTTGTGACATTACCTTCCGAATAGTCAAGCCAATACTGTATAATTAGACTCTCTCTAAGGCCTATAACATGAATTTATGAAAAAAATTAGCTCTTTTGTGAACTTAAAAAAATTTAACATTATAAAGGCTCTTTTACTATCAAGCACTTAGAATAGTCGAGCGTGCTGTCCTACCGACAGCTCTTGTTCTTTAAACATTGGATGTTGTATAGCCAAAGTAGAAACATAGAAATCACCTAGGTTGAATGTTGTATCATAATACAGTTCAATGTCAATGTCTTTCACTTGTAACAATTTATTAAGCTCAGCAAAAAGTTCACTATTTCCAACGAAAACCTCCAAGTCTGGGCAGGTTTTTATACTTATGATATAATCATATTCAAGCTGCTTTTCAAGTAAGTGTAACGCATAAAGGGAATCATGTGATTGTTTTGCCTCCACTCTGGCTTTAGCCTGAATGTTTTTTATCTGTTTTTCATTACGTGGTACGGTTACGCCATTAATAACCGCAGTAGGAGATTTTTCAGTTAGCATTTTATCATATACTTGTTTTGGTTTTTCACTTAAACAACGTTGTTTGATATCATTTGGTTTTGTTCTTTTATATGGACGTGTATTCTTTTTTCGTCCGGCATGGGGTAAATTTCTATATACTGTATTGTCGCCATAATATACCACAACAGTTTTTCCATTGTACTCTTCATCGATAAATCTAAAAGCATGTTTTTGGAAATCGTGATTGACTACACCTTTATTATGAATTTTGAAAAATGACCGTTCAATTTTCTTTCCAAAACTATTATATATTCTTTTGCCATAGTTTCTCCATGTATACCCATCACTGCGCCAATCTAATCCTTTCCATTTATGTCACCTGAATCATCATAGAGAAACACAGATCCAGGTTTAGGTCTGTAAGGTGGTTCATTTGTTACACTTTCCCGAATATTTTGCACTAGAATGTCTGCGGCTTCGTGGTGGGTGAGTGTTCTGTCAGTAGTGGTAAACATTGGTGTTTCATTACCACCACCTACAAGTTTTACACAGTCAGAACTCACGTGATATTGTCTTTCTGATTCAATGAGAACAAGGTTTGATGGGCATTTTGTCCATGAAATATGTAATGAATGTTTATTTTTAGGTTCTTGCAGTTGCATGATTATTTTATTCCTGTTCATTTTTTCATTAACTTAAGTCACACCTGACATTTTACACATATTTGTTTTAACCATCTTTGGATGCGGAGCATTTTGTATCGGTGCTGAGGGTAGGTCGCGAATGTCGTGAATAGTCTCATGTGATTGCCGTTGTATAGGTTCGCGGGTTGAATGTGTCATTTTTTTCTGGAATCGCCAAGAAGATGGTTGGTACTTGGTAGTTACTGGCTTAGTAGATGTTGTAACAGCCTGTTCAATGCTTGAGACAATTGTCTCTGTACCTTCAAAGCTCAAATGCAGCCCGTCCTTACTAAGCAAATGTTGGGAGGCACCTGTAGAAGAAAAAAGAATATAAATCAACATGAACTGTGTGAAATCTGTGTGTCATATGTATTGTAAGTTTATGATTATTCATAGCTTATTGCGAGACTAATAGATTACAATAATGGGAGTCAAAATGTCAATACGAATGTTTTAAAGTCATAAACATTTGGATTCCTGAGGCTTAATGCGCCTTTAATGAGCCTTTGTTATATATTAATTTCCACTTTGTCTTTAATACATGAACAAAGTCTAATTACAACAGGTTTTACTCTTCATAACAGCAATGTGTGAAAACTTTTAACATATACATATAAATAGCTTACAAACATACCAAACAGTGTATGAAACTCTGGCTGTACTATTATTTTCAGCCAAGGCATATGTGCTGACAAATCTTTCAGAAGCTTATTAGTGGCGCCTGATATTTGGGTCCTGGGAGATTCTATTCCTTACTGGGCAGGTATTCGAGCACAAGAATACAGGAAACCGAATCTTCGCATTCCAGGCAGAACTATTGAATGGTTAGGGGTTAGGGGCCTGAAGTGGACTTCCTTGCGTCACGAGATTGAAGCGAAGGTTCTCCTTTCTTCTCCTCCTTCAATTATCATAATACATTTGGGGGGAAACGATTTGATAAATCTTTCAAATTTACAAATGAAGGACGTCATGAGAAGCGAATTATTATACTTAAGAGAGGCTTTCCCAACCACAATTATCATATGGGTTGACATTTTAACACGACGGGTCTGGGGATCCGACCCAAGTGCCTATAAGATTTTAGAAAATAAAAGGTCAAGGATAAATAGAATAGGCCGCCAGCTTGTTAGTAGTTTGGGCAATTTTGATTTGGTTAAGCCTGATATTGATTCGAAATCTGCCTTTTTCCGCCAAGATGGAATTCATTTAAATGAAGTGGGGTTAGAATTTTATTTGGATTACTTGCGGGTTGCAATTTTAAAAAAATTGTAAAAGGTCTTAAGAATTTTGGGGGGAATAAATTAGGAAATTTATTGTGGCGGTAAAATTCTGTCGACCGGAAGACGAGCCGACGTGGCTAATTCAGTCTTGTATTAAATTAGCTTTTGTGAAGTGGGACCTGGCTGTGTCTCCTATCTCAGGGCTGGGGTAACCGCTTGGGGGTGGGGTATGCCGTCGGGTCTCGAACTTTACGATATTTTAAATAGGTACTGCGGAGAGATATCATAGGTTCACCAGTTGTTGTGTTGACTGGACAGTAATAGGTTTCGCCCTAGTACTTGGTGATTCCTATATAGCTTTGCTCTTGCTCGCTTTGCTTTGCCTTGCCTCGCTGTGATTACACTGCCTTGCTTTCCCTTTACGGGCCCCGGGTCACCGTTTTCGTCTACTTCCTGGGTCAACCGGTCGTGGGTGTGAATGGTGATGTGGTGTTCGTTGGACCGACGTTACGGCAGTTGTATATTTATGATTCTCTCACTACGCAGTTCCTATGGGGTCAAAAACTTATGTTAGCTAGCAAGGTTAAGTTAAAGTAGTTCGTCTCCATTTAAAAGGGTCAGTTAGAGGGTCGTTTGGTTTCTAGTTGCATTTGTTTTTTAATTTGTGTGTTTTTGGTTACATGTTACACGTTTACTCCTCTTTCGGTCGGCGGAATTTATATTTAGAGCGGCCAATAATATCCCATTCAAACTTTGTCGTTGTCATAACAGCTTGTTTGTAGTACTACATAAATGATAGTAAAACGCATAAAAAATAAACACGTATGTTGACTGTATGATTTGTTTCTCTTTATTTCGAGTAATAAAATAATTATTTTATTATCTAGGGCTATCATCCTCCTTTACTTTTAATTCCCATAACAACCATTTCTACTATATACCTTTATTGTCTGCGTTTTACTATATATTCTATATTGTCTGCGTTTTACTATATATTCTATATTGTCTGCATAAGCGTCTGCGTTTTAGCCTGTGCCCCTATGCGTATCTTTTTCAATATATTTTCAATAATAACTGTTGTAAATTGAAAAAAATTGCAAACATTTCATTTGAGATCATTTTTGTGTCGCCTTGAAAAGGTGACATATAGGGGTTACTTTTGTCGGCGGCGGCGTCTGTGTCGTTGTCGGCGTCGGCGTCGGCGTCCCCTAAAGCTTGTCTGGAGCATAACTCAGTCACTATAAGTCTGATTGACTTCAAACTTGGTATGCATGCTTCTTTCAATAACCCGAAGTGCAGTGCACAAGGACCGGTACTCTGCATTTCTTAGTTTTTGAGTTATTGCCCTTTGTTAATTTTCATACTTTAATTTTGTCCGGGCCATTTCTCTTCAACTAAAAAAGCTATGGACTTGAAACTTCATAGGATGATAGATCTCATTAAAAAGAAATGCAGTGCAAAAGAACCAGTACTCTGCACTTCCTAATTTTTGAGTTATTGCCCTTTGTTAATTTTCATACTTTATTTTTGTCCGGGCCATTTCTCCTAATGTATAAAAGCTATGGACTTGAAACTTCATAGGATGATAGGTCTCATTAAGAAGAAGTGTGGTGCACAATAACTGGTACTCTGCATTTCTTATTTTTTGAGTTATTGCCCTTTGTTTATTTTCATACTTTAATTTTGACCGGGCCATTTCTCCTTAAATAAAAGCTATGGACTTGAAACTTCATAGGATGATAGATCTCATTATTAAGAAGTGCAGTGCACAAGAATTGGTACTCTGCATTTCTTTATTTTTGAGTTATGGCCCTTTGTTAATTATACGCCCGTTTGAAAAACGGGACGTATTATGGGAACGCCCCTGGCGGGCGGGCGGGCGGCGTCCAATTTTGTCCGGAGCATATCTCCTACATGTATGGAGGGATTTAATGAAACTTCATAGAAATGTTCACCACTATGAGGAGCAGTGTCGCGCACATGAACCAGGTCTCTAGGTCAAAGGTCAAGGTCACACTTAGAGGTCATTGAAAAATGCTTGTCCGGAGCAAAACTTCCACATGTATAGAGGGATTTCAATATTACTTGGCACAAATGTTCACCATTGTGAGGCGGAGTGTCGCGTGCAAGATTCAGGTCCTTGCGGCCAAGGTCAAGGTCACACATAGAGGTCAAAGTTCAGATAAAAATATGAAGATGTGTATATGGACCATTTAGTCATCATTTATTGAGGGATTGTAACACAAATGGTCATTATCAAGACTATGGCTGTGATACATATAATTTAGGTCAATATATACAAGGTCAAGGTCACTAAAGATGATGAAATATTCAGATTTTGTAAATAGAATTTAATCAAAGGGCAACAACAAAGTTATTACTTTGTTCATAAATGACTTACACAATTACTCTCCTTGATCTACTTTCACTTTCAATTCTAAAAATAGAATTTAATCAAAGGGCATAAAATAATCCTCTTTCTTGGACTTGAGTATGTTCTAAA